CCCCACTCCATATCTATGAACTAAATACATTGCCAAGTTTTCAAACCAGAAACTATATCACCAATTCCATGATGTTTTCTAATGTCAAGATACATTTGTTTTAAATTACATTATGTTTTTATAACGACGTCGGTTGAACATTAAATAGAATATGCCATATTACTTTACTTGTAAAGTTACACATTGAGTTATAAAATATTTACTTGGAAAATTATGATTTTGGTTATACCGAGCGTCTCGAATAACTTTAATTTAATTTAAATAGTTTTATTTAAATTTAGTAATCTTCAATTTATTACAGATGTGTTTATCATCAGAGGGAGACTATGGGAGGTCATTGTTTCACCAAGTCTCGCCTTGTCTGTGACACGAGAAGGTTTGTTTAATTTGTGCGAAACCAGTTCTGCTTATCATTTTATAGATAGTGTGTATTCAGATTAGTTTTGTTTTATAAAATTATTGATTTAATTATAAGAGCACGTGTCAGCCAGGTTTAAATAAAAGCTTTTTTTTTAAGGTGAAGGGGGGAGAAAAAGTCCTTTATATCTCACAAGGAAAGTCAATGTTTAATTATTCAACAAAACATTGAGTGCGACCGGTTTCGAAGTATCATCACTTCATCTTCAGGCTCGCCTAGTGGAAAGGAGAATATGTGGTGTAAGGTGTGTTGACTTTGAGCCCACAATATATAAAATAGAAAAAAATAGAAAAACTCACCATACTCTCCATCCACTAAGGAATACTACAGACAAGTTTCATCAAAACGTGGGGGATGAAATAAATTGTAAAACAAAACAATGTTACAAGTTATAAAAAGTTAAAAATATTTGAAAAACAAATATTAGTCGATATAAACAGTTAAAAATTTTAAAATATTCAAGACTATACAAAAAAAAAAATAAAAAAAAAAAAAAAAAAAAATTTAATTGTTTATATCGACTAATATTTGTTTTTCAAATATTTTTAACTTTTTATAACTTGTAACATTGTTTTGTTTTACAATTTATTTCATCCCCCACGTTTTGATGAAACTTGTCTGTAGTATTCCCTAGTGGATGGAGAGTATGGTGAGTTTTTCTATTTTTTACTATTTTATATATTGTGGGCTCAAAGTCAACACACCTTACACCACATATTCTCCTTTCCACTAGGCGAGCCTGAAGATGAAGTGATGATACTTCGAAACCGGTCGCACTCAATGTTTTGTTGAATAATTAAACATTGACTTTCCTTGTGAGATATAAAGGACTTTTTCTCCCCCCTTTACCTTAAAATTACCTCAACTCACACATGGCTACCCCCCTTGTCAATTAAATAAAAGCAGCTCGTAAGGAGCAGTACACCCTCATGGAGGGGCTCGAAGGGGCAAACAGTCACCCCACAATAACCAGGGATGACGAAATCCCCAAAGAACAACCCGCCGAAACCTTATTCACAAAGAGAGCAACGGAAAAGGAAGAAAGCAGAAAAGCTTTGTCACTAAACACAGAGAGACGGAGGTCCTCTGGCTCCTCCAACAGCCCCAGAAGCCCACCAACCCTCAAGCTTAAAAGGAGCATCCATCACTCCTATAAGCATGTGAGTACCCCCAAACCCAGAGAACACAAATCAAATTCTTCCAGGGATAGTAGGGACTCACATTCAAGATCATCAAAAAGTCACGATAAAGAGGGGAAAAAGACCTCTAGATCAGGAACTAGCAAAGATAGGGAAAAACAGGCATTGATAACGCCGATTTGCACCCAACTTCAACTAATGACGAGGGAAAAACCGTGAAATTCAACACGGAAAATTTTCATCTAAAAAACATGGATAACAACAAATTTTACGACAAACAAAATACCAAGACAAAAAACACAGTACTTTGACTACAAATCTACAAACTGGAATCAGTACAGAGACAAAATAGACAGTTACGTAACGATTAACAACAACATTCAGACTGTAGAAATACTTGAAAACGAAACCAAAACATGGATCAAAAATATACAAAAAGCTAGAGACGAAACGACAAAAATTAAGACACACTCACAACATTACGACACACTGCCACCCGAAATTACAGACTTAATCACAAACAAATACAGATTACGTAAAAAGTGGCAGTTACACCGGCTAAATGACGATAGGGAAATGATGCAAAATCTTGCAAGCAATATTAACACACAAATCAGAGAATATAGAAATAAAAAATGGCAAACTACCCTATCTGAATTGAAACCGAATGACAACTCACTGTGGAGAGTAGTGAAGAGGTACAAAAAACCCTACTCACTGCTCCCAACATTGAAACGAGGACAAGACTTACTAGCAACGGACAACGAAAAAGGTCAAGCTCTCGGTGAATTAGTTCAAGTACAATTTGTAAATAATCAGGTCAATAATTCCGCCCAAGAAAGAATTCACAACATAATAAACGAATTCAAAAATATAGGACCACTATTAGTGCCCCATTCTTTTCTAACCACTCCTAGAGAGGTATGCGAGGTAATTAAGCGTCTCAAAAATAGAAAAGCTCCGGGACCGGATGATATTAGTAACATATTGCTAAAAAACCTTAGCAGAAAAGCTATCGTGCAGCTCTACCACATAATAAATGCCATTTTCAGACTGCAACATTATCCCAGTGGTCTGAAAGTGGCAAATATAATCCCTATTCTCAAACAGGGAAAACCGGGAAACAGTATTGATAGCTATCGCCCCATATCACTACTTAACACACTTTCAAAAATAACGGACACAATAATTTTACGAAGCTTAAAAACAATATAACAACGTATACAGATTATCCCGAGGGAACAGTACGGCTTCAGAGAGGGGCACAGCACAGTGGCCCAGGTTCTGAGGATTGTACAACATGCCAAAGAGGCATTCAATCGGGACCTGCAAACTGTGCTGGTGGCGCTTGATTCGGAGAAAGCCTTTGACACCGTATGGACCCAAGGGTTAATCTACAAAATGTTTTTAAATGACTTTCCTGGGCACATTGCTAAAATAATTTTATCCTACTTAACGGACAGAAAATTCTACGTAAAAATAAACACGACAATTACAGGACCTTTCATAGCAATGGCGGGAGTATCACAGGGCTTAGTACTATCGCCGCATTTGTACACTATTATGACCTGTGACTTACCAATGGGACATAATGGTGTACAAACGGCGTTGTACGCTGACGACATCTGTATATACACAAGCAATAAATCAGCCGAAACAGCGAACAGGAAGCTGGATGACCATACCAACGGAACTTTAGTGACTTATTTATCCGAAAATAAAATGAAAATTAACCCAAATAAAACCGAATCGATTGTTATAACAAAGAGGCGGACTCAAGCAATTGACACGCCCCTCGTGATTCAAAATCGACAAATAGAAGTCAAATAAGAGTTAAAATGTCTCGGTTTTCGACTGGAAAAGACACTACTGTTTAATGCCCACATAAAAGACAGAGTTTCCAAAAATGCCGGTATTCTGAGGTCATTGTACCCCCTAATGAATAGGCGGAGTCGGCTAACATTGTAGAATAAACTGCTACTATTTAAAACTATATTTAGGCCTATACTGACATATGGTTGTCCAGTATTCTGTTCAATGGCAAATTCACATTTCGCAATATTACAAAGGGCACAAAACAGATGTCTAAGGCTAGCTCTTGGCTACGACCGTCATGCTAAAATTCGCGACATACACACAACGACAAATATCCCATACATAAAAGACCGTCATCCAGACGGCCGAAAACTTCTACGCTCGATGCCTCCCTGATGAATTGAGGGATAGCATCATGAATATTTACCAGAGGGACGGCGTGCGTAGAAAACACGGCTGCCTACACAAAAACCTAAACATCTACCGATGACAGTAACATGATCCATGACAAATCCTACAATACTAAACAATATTTCACACGGACTGGATATTTACGAATTCTAGTCCGACGGAGGACTGAACTATCGACTGACCGGCATTGCCGCGGCCGAGAGAGCAACCAGAATAAATAACCTTGTTAACGATCGGTATAAAAACACCCCACCAATAATAATAACTCAAGCGGACCTCACTACTCCAAAAGAGGTTCACAGCATTCTGTGTGGATTAACCAATAAGAAGGCCCCTGGACCTGACGAAATCAGTAACATTTTATTAAAAAACTTATCAAAAAAAGCTATCGTCCAATTACATCACATAATTAATGGGGTGATTAAACTCCAATACTACCCCAAATCTCTCAAAACAGCCGATATCATCCCCATACTAAAACCCAAGAAAAATGCAAAATTCATAGAGAGCTACAGGCCGATTTCTTTACTAAATGGCATAGCAAAAATCATAGACCGAGTTATTCTTACGAGACTACAAAACATAGCAAATGACAACAACATAATACCGCAGGAACAGTACGGATTCAGACAGGGTCACAGTACTGTTGCACAAATCATAAACATAGCGCACCAAGCTAAAAAAGCTTTCAATGACAAAAACAAACAGTACTCGTGGCCCTGGACACTGAAAAAGCATTCGACACGGTCTGGACCTGCGGATTAATACATAAAATGATTGTGAACAACTATCCTGAGCACATTATAAAAACAATCTACTCATATTTGAATGACAGAAAATTCTACATAAAAATACAGAACTACAGGACAGGACCATTTACAGCTGTTGCCGGAGTACCCCAAGGATCAGTACTCTCGCCGCATCTGTACACGATTATGACACACGACATGCCAATGGGTCATAATGGCGTACAGACGGCATTGTATGCCGACGACACCTGTGTCTACAAAACCTCAACTTCTGCAGAAATCGCCACAAGAAGATTGGACATCCATATCAACAGAACGTTAGTCCCCTATCTTAATGAAAACAAGATGAAAATCAATCCCACAAAAACAGAGAATACTCTTCTTTCCCAAAGAAAATCAGACGGGGTCATAACAAATCTCAGGGTTCAAGGTCAAATAATCGAGACCAAAAATAGTCTAAAATATCTAGGTTTTCATCTAGATAGGAGACTAACGTTCAGAAAACACATCAACGACCGTATCGCTAAAACTACCGGCATGATACGGACATTATACCCTATGCTGGCGCGGACCAGCAAGGTAAGCCAAAAAAACAAACAACTGCTCTTCAAGCAAATACTTCGCCCGATACTGACTTATGGATGTCCGGTCTTCTGCTCCATGGCAGAAACGCACTTCCAAAAACTTCAAATTACACAAAACAGGTGTCTGAGGCTAATCCTTGGATGTGCAAGGGACACCAGAATCACAGAAATGCATGAGAGAACAAACATTCTTCCTATTAAACAATATATAACTCAATTATCTGAGAAATTCTACCGAAACTGTCTTCCTCCGCGTCTCAAGGAAGACATAAACCAGATCACTAGGGTAAATAATTCAAATAGGAAGCATGTTTGGATCCATGAAAACCTTACTATATACAATCGTTGAGACAATTACAAAAACAAAGCACAAATAATGACAATCAGAGCATGTATGATTACCGTGCAATATCCAAAGCTGACTGAATCTAAAATTCGAAAAGCGTCTGACTATATCAGACGGTGGGCGGGGCCTAGGCCCGAGGAGATCGGCCATTGGCTGAAACCTCGGACCTATGAACGGCCTTCAATCTGATACTGTCTGTGGATATTACATACAACGAACCATAGACTATAACGAACACACACACACACACTTCAGAACCCTGTTTTTTCACAACTTTTTCAGGGAAAAATCAGACATAATTAAACTCACACACAACACACAATCAAATCACTAACTGCGAACAGCATCATAGCTCAAAACTGCTTAATTATATCGATCTGATAGGGAGTAAGCAAGGCAGCCAAAACTGGGAAACATTACAAGCTGCTATTGGGCACGAACATCAGCCAATCCCTGCAAGGATTCAGAAGGAAGAATATTATGTTTTATTTTACTGTTATTATTTCATATATTATTTTTTCTTTTTATAAATGGAGCTTGTAAATGTAATGTAGATAATGTATATATTGAATAAAGGATTTTTAAACTGAAACTGAACGGCCGAGAGAGCGACTTTCGTTACTCGACGGCGGCAGTTCCGGGTGGTTTATAGCTCATCCTCTCTGTGAATTAAGACAAAGAACCGTAGACTTGGACAAGAACACACAACACAAATGACAACCCTGTTTTTTCCTAGCTTTTTCAGGGGACAATACAAAACTAACACACGACAAACCTCCTATAACTTACAATTCCCGATCCAAAACCACCATAATCCCTCAATAATACCCATAGGGTAAGGAATGAGGGCGGCTATAATTAGCATAACCAAAACCTATTACAGGCGGATAAACCGCCTCAGGCCTCAATGGATACCATTCGGGCCACAGCTGTACTGTGTACAGTCTGTGTTTTTTCTGACGTTTTATGTTTACATTTTGTACATATATTTTTTAAAAAATAAATAAAGATTTTAAATGAAATGAATGAACGATCCGACCTGAATATCATATATTTTGATCCCAAGTGGGATAAAACAAGTTAAGAAAGTAAAATAATAAATAAAAGTTAAAACATATTTGCAATTTATAGAGTACACAAAAATATTCCCAAAGTAGGCTATAAATTAAATCCAAACTAATATTTAACCCGGCATCACCCAGGTGAAAATTTTATGCATCATCAACCGGGTGGGGTCTGATGGACCCTGACTTTAAAATTATAAAAAAATACATTTTTTATTGATATTTTTGTGCAATAGTGTCATTTTTATATTTATAACTTAAAAGAAAAATACGCGAACTTCATAAGAATTAAAAATTTATTAT